CTGCTAATTGCCAAGAGCCGTAAGATGGTGTAGCACAGCAATTAAATTCATTCAATTTTTATTCGCCGCCCATCGGGCTTCAAAGAGACTCTGGGTGGCTTACAGCATAAAAGCCATTAAAATCATCAGGGGTTCTTAACACGTAAAATAAATAAATGCACTTTCGCCGCCCCGTACCTCAGGATTGAGAAGGTGAGTGTGAACCACAGCTCGCTTGATGTCATACAAGTCAGTGAAGTGTTCCAGCGCCCTTTGGAGGAGACCGGCTTTCTCGCAGAGTTGAGCGATGTGAGCTCGGTCGTAGTGGGTGAACATCTGATTCCCCAAGATGGCGTCGGCAACCTGAAAAGAGGAAATTTTGCTTGAGACAGATTTTTTTTTATTAAATTTAAGTGTATAAAATATAAAACAGTAAAACAAACACAAAATGAAACGTTAACAGAAACGTACCATCAACTGGTCATTTGCATTCTTTTTAAGAGTCATCGAGGCCATTTGGAGGTTCGTCCTTGAAGTCAGTAGTGCAAATGGGTGTGGAGCTGCAGAAAAGGACTATATTGTGGACTGGAGATGGATGGTGTTGTATCCCTCCCCCTCGGTTGAGAGAGGGCTGCTCAATTTTGACATGTGTCCCCAAGGACACAGACAAACCTCCAAGTGGCCTCAATGACTCTCCAAAATGAATGCAAATGACCAGCTGTCTGCAAGGAATATAAATCCTTCCATTCCCCAAACTCAGTCAGAGCTGAAGAAGCTTCTTGGATGAGAAGCGAAACGTCTTCAAGGAAAAACAAGAAAGTCCACTTTCCTATTGAGAAAAGCACCTTTGGGACGACCATGACCTGGATGACTGAGAATCCCCATAGACAACAAAAAAGAAAAAAGAAAAATAGTGTACAAAAAAGGAGGAAAAAATAGTCAATTAAATTTAACCTTGAGATACAGATCTGTGGAAAATAAGCTCTGCTAGAAATTAAAGCTTGGATTCCTCTGGTGTGTTCAGAGGCCGACTGTCAAGCACAATCAAGAAAGTGAGTCTTTGGTGAGGATTTTAATGCTAATTTTGGGGTGAAAACCGACCATCGAGAATTGCAAGAAAACAAATTTCCCAGGGTCATTTATGGTTAATACATTAATAATTAAATAATTTTTGAATAATGAATAAAACTGAATAATTCAAACTGCTTCTCACCAAAATGCTTTCACCTGTCACTTGGGCTGAGTTGCCCTTTAAGACACAAGCTGCTCTTGGTTATTATGATCAGATAATTTTTTTTTTATCTCTCCTTCATGATTTTTATAAATAAGATGGTGAGAATATACCTAATACTCCTCCTTCCTCCTATTTGGATGGAAAATAATCAAGGAGGGAACCAACCTATAAATAAGTAGAAATCTCCTGACAGTTAGAATAATTAAACAGTGGAACGACTTGCCTCCAGCGACTGTGAGAGCTCCAACAATGGAGGTTTTTAAGAAGAGGTTGGGCAGCCATTTGTCGGGGATGGTATAGAGCAGGGGTGTCAAACTTAAGGCCCATGGGCAGGACCTGGCCCATGGGGTTCTTAAATCTGGCCCGCGGGGCTGGCCTCGAAATAGCAAAGAACAAGCGCGTGGTGCCTCTGGCAGCCAAAATGGGGTCCAGGGGTCCCCACACTGCCCGTTTTGGGTGCCAGAGTGCTGCAAGAAGCCGTCCAGGCCAAAAACAAGGTGCGGAGAAGCCGTTTTGGTCAGCAGGGTGCTGACAGAGGTGTGCCATCAGGGGTGGGATTCAAATTTTTTAACAACCGGTTCTGTGGGTCTGGCTAGGTGGGCGCGGCCATGTGACTGGGTGGGCGTGGCTTCTTCTTTTTTGTAGCACCCCTCCCCGTTTTGGGGGCATCCTGAGTCTCAAGTAAGCCTTGGGGAGTGTGGAGGGGGGGGGGTTGGTCCCAGAAGGCTTTCCTGGGGCTCAGGAAGGAAAAAAAACCCAGAACCCCAATGCTCCATTTTGGGGCCTTCTGGACCTCAGGGAAGCCTGCTGGGCAAAGCAATAACACAGCGAGGAGAATCCCGGGACAGCTGATCTAGGAACAGCTGACTGTCGGGAGGGGAAAAAAAGAGAAACACCTTAAGGAGTGACTGGGAAGGGAAGAACGCAGTCAACGATGTTGCACATGCACGGTGAGGACTGACGGGGAGGGGAGGGACGGGGCTAGCCAGGGGCACAATTTGCCAGTTCTCCGAACTGCACAGAATCATAACAACCGGTTCTATAGGACCGGTCCGAACCGGTAGAATCCCACCCCTGGTGTCCATTCCCCATCTCCTGAAGAGAAGTACAATGCTGATCCGGCCTTCGAAGAAATCCAGTTTGACACTCCTGGTCTAGAGTCTCCTGCTTGATCATAGAGTCGGACTAAAAGACCTCCAAGGTCCCTTCCAACTCTATCATTCTGTTATTTTCCCCACAGCAACAACCCTGACAGGAGGGTTAAGCTGAGAGTGAGCGATAGGCCCAAAATCATCAGGTGGCCTTTATGCCTAAGGCAGACTAGAACTCAAATATCTCCTGGTTTCCAGGACAGCAACTTAACCACTAGACCAGACTGGGTCTTATTATGCTTGTTGATTCTCTCCTCTGTACCATTTTTCCTAGCTCCCCCCAATCTCTCACAACAGCCTCCAGAAATAAGCCCACTGGTTATAAGAAAACTACACTTCGGTATCCATCGCCAGCTCCTTTTTAAACCAAACCAGGTTTGCTGACCTGCTCATTCATGGCTTTGGAAAAACGTTGCCCCAAAATGCTTCCAGTTTAGGGAAAATGGTTTTTTTTTTCCTCCATAACCTATCAAAATGGCAATCACAGGGAGTTATTTTTAATAATTGTAATAATTTTTAGACTGCAACTCACTTTGATAAGCGTTTAATTTTAAAAAAGAATGAACCTTAAGTTCAGAACAAACTTTTGGAAAACTAATCATTATAAAAGTACCAGTACCTGGTTTTATCAGTTTAACTTCCATATAAAAGTGGAAGCTTCTGCCTGCAGATACAAGATGAGCATTAAGAGGTCTGATGTTCTTTTGGTTTTTTAAATAGGCTAGAATGAGCTGAACTGAAATGCCTGTTTTTAGGGTTTCTTTATAGGAATCCTTTATATTACTTCAATATAATATAAAGGAACCCTTTATATTTCAAATCCACGTGAAAGGAAAGTCCAAGAAATCATCATCGTCTTTTAACGACCCCATAATCCCTTGCGGGGTGGAGTCTGGGCAACTGAATGGAGCTAGCAGAGTGTTTTAATGGCTGGATGCCCTTCCTGTCGCCAACGTAGAGTTTTGTTCAGCAGATATATTCCCAGTGTGAGAAATACCTGCCTCTACTTAGGATCGAGTCCTGATCATGAGGAGAGAGCTCCACCTCTAGGCCACTGCACCACTCAGGAAAGTCCAAGAAATAGGGTAACCAAATCCTTTCGAGAACCAGGTACAAAACCTACCTGAGGTGCATGCATGAGATTCATTTCAAGCAAACGAGTTTGCAAAGGCCCTTCAGATGGACGGTTGTTTTTCAGGGCATCCAAGAGGAAAGCTGTACACTGCTGGATCAAGTTGTATTCCATAAACACATCTACTATCTGCAAAATAAAATAAACGAGAGCATTTGTTTTAGATTCTTCCCACCCAAGGCAGATAAAGCCTTGTATAAGCATCCCAGCAATATAAGGTTATCTAATTCAGCCAAATCATCCACGCTTAAGGCACCAAATGCATGCCATATTCCCCCTCTCATTAGAGGTGAACAAAGCATTTCATTTTTAAACAGTTTTGATCTCATTTGTAGCTTTTCAACTTTCAAACCCCTCTGCTTGCATTTGAAGCATGTATTTTGAGCACAAAAGGAGGGCTTTTCAAACATGGGACATTCCTAGTAAAGAGCTTAAAATGAAAAACAGAGCCGTATGAAAGGCTAAAGGCTTCAATTCTAAAATGTTTCATATACAATGACATGCAAGTGTTTTTCACAAAACCTGTTTTCCCTTTAGTGTCAAATCTTGACACTGTACAATAGTATTTCTCAACTTCCAAGATGTGTGGACTTCAACTCCCAGAATTCCCCAGCCAGCATGCAACAACTTAAAAGTTGCCACGCTTAGGCAAAACTGCTGTAGAATCCTACAGAATTCAAAGATTACCTTGAGGATCCTCCTCAAATCAGAAATGTTCTTGAGAACATCTGTATGGTTCTCCAGAGGCCACGTGAAAGATTTCACAAGTAGGACCTGGGTCCATCAAGAAATGACTGCCGAGACTTCACCCTCCACATGAGATCAGGAGAACATGAGATCTGTGCAGCTCTCACCTTCTTGGTCTTTCACTGAGCACCCAAACATCCTCAAGACTGCTAAATATAAGATGTTCCAGAGTTCGCATCACCTACCATTTTGCTCATGAACATGCTAAATTTTACACTCCATCGAAGTCTTATATAGTCATTCTATTTATGGTCAAGCTGAGTTTATAGTCCACTCTTACTTATGGCTCAAAATGGTTAAGAACCATCACATCCCCACACGCTGAATGCTCTGCAGCATGGTTATTATCATGCTTGCTTAATGTCACCTTTACTGTGTTATTAGTAATCTTCACAACAGGGCACACGCGTCGAGTTTTGAGATTGCAATACTCCCAAATTTCCTGCGAGCGTTGCTCAACGCTATGCCAAGAACAAAGATTGGTCAATGATTGGGAATGATAAGAAATATCCATGTGAAAACAGGATTATGGGAGAAACAGAAATGTTTCCGCAGATGCAACAGTGTGAAGACTTTATAGGAAACCAAGGATCGTCATTACGAAGCCATTTATTGCAGTCTGCTGAAGCAAACGGACAGAGACCCAAATATCCTTTTCTCTCTCTCTCTTTCAAGATGTTTCCTTACTTGGGTAATATCTGCCAGAGGTTCTTCATCCTGCACCAACATCTGGGCAAACTGCTGTCCTTGGTCCGGGCTGATCCGCATTACGTTTCTCAGGAGGAAGATCCAGTCTGGAGTGTAACCGACCTAGGAAGGGCGTGTGCATGCCCAGAAGGAAATATTTGGTTAGCTTTGCTGCACTTTGTATGCTGGAGTAAGAGGGTCCTGAAACGGTCTGCGTTTGGCTCGTTCTCTTTCTAGGTTGGAAACTGAGAAAGCTCAACCCGGTTCATCTCTTGGCAGAGGTCACAGACCCCTGCATGAGCCAACGAAGGAGAATATTTATAGCTTAGGGCTGAAATGAAGGGTCCTTTGGTGCCGTCTGAGCTTGCTTGTTTTCTTGCAAACTTTTCGTTACCCAAGCTAGTAACTAGTCAACATCTGCAAGAAAACAACCAAGCTCAGACAGCGCCAACCACCCCACTCCCAAAGATGTCTTGCTCGGAACCAGCCTTATGAGATTTTATTTTGTATGTGCTGTTCCTGCCACTTGTGGTTTTCATCCTTAAAAGGACTTAGAACCATGGCCTCCTGTTGTGGTTCTTTGTAAGACAGACGTTGTTAAGTCAATTCCAACAGAGATGTGGCCTAGGGATTTTGGACACAGAAATCAGAGCAGGCCACTGGACGCATTGGATTATTTCACACAGGGATTAAGATAGCAATAGCACTTAGACTTATATGCCGCTTCACAGTGCTTTTACAGTCCTCTCTAAGCGGTTTACAGAGTCAGCATCTTGCCCCCAACAATCTGGGTCCTTCCTTTTACCGACCTCGGAAGGATGGAAGGCTGAGTCAACCTTCATCCAGTCAGGATCGATCTCCTGACAGTGGATAGAGTTAGCCTGCAATAGCAATAGCACTCGGACCTATGTACCATTTCATAGTGCTTTACAAGCCACTCTAAGCAGTTTATAGAATCAGTATATTGTCCTTAACAATCTGGGTCCTCATTTTACCGACCTCAGAAGGATGGAGGGCTGAGTCAACCTTCAGCTGGTGAGAACTGAACTGCCAAACTGCTGGCAATTGGCAGTCAGCAGAAGTAGCCTGCAATACTGCATTCTAACCACTGCGCCATCATGGCTCTTAAGATTAAAGACTTCTGACCAGGATCTATCACAAGACGTGGTAGTGGCTACAAGTTTGGCCTGGCTTCTCCCCCCCCCAAAAAAATAAAATAAAAAATAAAGGTTTCAGGGAAACCAATTACCTTCTTGGCATACAGCACGATCTTCTGAACTTGTCCCGTTTCCGCAAAACACTGAATGACCTTACTGGGAACGTTAGCACGTAGGTAGACACTCAGGGCCAACGTTGGGTCCACAGACTTCACCAGGTCTCCCAGTTCTTCAGAGCATTCCAGCTGTTGAAAAGAAAGCATTTCGGAGGGTTTTTTTTTTAAATACCCAAAAGGATGCTGCATATCTAAAACAAACTGCAGTAGAAACTCTTTTCTACGTGTGCCAATGTGACAAGCAATTGAGGAAACCATGCACCCCAAAGAAGACTTCAAAATATAATATTCATTTTGCTACAGTACGTGATTCCCCCCCCCCCCACTCTGTATTATGGGACCTATTGCATTGCAGGAACATCTTAAGGGAGGGGTTGTGCAACCTTGGCAACTTTAAGACTTGTGGACTTCAACTCCCAGAATTCCTGAGCTAATATGATTAGAGGAGGAATTCTGGGAGTTGAAGTCCACAAGTCTTAAAGTTGCCAAGGTTGGACACCCCTGCCTTAAGGGTTATGTCAGCATGGCGTTAAACCATGAGTGGCACTTCTGATCAATATCTATAGTAGAAACAAAATGAAACACAGGGCAGTGCACAGTGCAACTAGTCCTCATCACACAAGCGAACCAAGAAGGAAGCCAGAGATTTACTTTGCCAGGAAAGATGACGTTGGAAGAAGAAAGTGAAACCTCTTCCAGAAGAGCTGTCCTTGACAAGTCACCGAAAGGTCAAGTGATAAACCCTCGGTCAAGAATGAAGGCAGATTGTGATTTAAGCTGGTGGCTCCTTAAGCTCATTCACTGTAGAACTAAAATAGCTAAGGACATTTGTCATGAAAAGAAGTCTTGTGTTCAGGAACTCAGCTAGTTTGTTCTCAAGTTTTTTCCCCATCCCAGTCTTCGAGAAGAGAGAGGGAGAAGTGTGAAACTGAGCTGAATCCAGAAATCAAGTTCAAAAAGTAAATGTTAAACTGTGGACAATATTTTAAGACCTGCTTGCTTGCATTCGTTGTCAGAAGCCCCAAGGCACTTCTGGGTTGAAAGGATTAGCCGGAGACATCACTGTTACCTGGGAGATGCCTCGTTGGGGGCATATCCCTTTCATATCCCTGGCAATTGCTGGAGCAAAGGACGGGAGCTCAACCTTACCCCAGGAGGACAGCAGCTCAACCCTGCCCCAGAAGGACGGGAGCTCAACAGCACTTTGGTCTCGAACACGAGCTTGCTTACCTCCATCCCAGCGTCCAAACCACACAGCCCCCTGTGCTCATTTTAATACATTTCCTTGAGAGGTAACTACATTTAGAAGTCCAACTATGGAGTTCAATAACCTTTGACTCCAAGGAGTTAAGTTATTAATAAGGGCCAACATAAAGCAAAAGGATTAAATTAAATCCTGTAACAGAAAAAAAAATCTCTGAAAAAAATACTTTTAGGACACAATTAGGCCAAAGCATTCATTAAATAAGGACTAGCATGGTCTCAATACAATTTCTGAATGAGGGGTATAATTCCAAGGCTGTGGTTAGGGATGACAAAAGAAGAACCTTGTTGTCTCAATTAAGAAAAGACCGAGTTTTTAAAGATTCCTGCCCCATCATCCACACCCCAGTATTTGGAAAAAAATGTGTAGCAAAAGTTTGGAAATTTCAAATCTTGATTCAAGTTCAGAATCACAAAGACTTGACAAATTGTAATCAGTGGGGTCAGAAACTGGTGTAGAGTCATAATGAATTTAGCTTTTCAAACTGTCACAAGATTTTGGACAAAGGAGAATTCCTCTGAGATTTTCACCACTGGGAGGTTGCGGTGGTGGGGAGATTATTTTTGTTTTGGCATTAGACGTAAGTCATAATATGCTTGCAGGCAAGCATCATCCATCAACTGGAAACAACTGACAGTTGAGGGAAAGGTCACTCATTTAAGGGCAACGTTATATAATTCAGCTAAAGAGCTGAAAGGCAACTTCCTATCCCTTCCTTTGCCAGGAAATTCCAGCCAGGAGCCAAAGTCTTCCATGCCTAATACGTTGCCATCAGGAAGCTGCCATCTGAGAGTTGGCAATTTTCACTGGTTCTCTAGGCTGCATTAACAGGGGGAATAGAATCAAGATCACACAAAGCGTTAGGAACATTTTGTCATGCCTTGGCAAGACCACACGTGGGACTTTGCACCCGGTTTTGGTTGCCATGAAGATGTTGAGACTCTGGAAAGAGTGAAGAGAAGAGCAACGAAGATGATTAGGGGACTGGGGGCTAAAACATACGATGAATGGTTGCAGGAACTGGGTATGTCTAGTTTGATGAAAAGAAGGATCAGGGGTGACATGATAGCAGCCTTCCAATATCTCAGGGGCTGCCACAAAGAAGAGGGAGTCAAGCTAATCTCCAAAGCACCTGAAGGCAGGGCAAGAAGCAACGGAGGGAAACCAATCAAGGAGAGAAGCAACTTAGAACTATGGAGGAACTTCCTGACAAGGAGCACAATTGATCAGTGGAACAGCTTGCCTACAGAATTTGTGGAGGTTTTTAAGAAGAGACTGCAGAGTCATTTGTCTGAAATGGTATAGTTTCCTGTTTGAGCAGGGAGTTGGACTAGAAGACCTCCAAGGTCCCTTCCAACTCTGTTATTCTCTACCATGGCACCAATCCGAAGAGCAAAATTACCCAGCAAAAGCTACCAAACCCTAACTCAAAACCATTTCCACTTTCTTGGGAGACAGAGAGATGCTCTCTTCACAGTTAGAAAGAGACCGAACCCAGCAGAAAGGATGAAATTTTAGCTGTCAGTGACCGTCAACCCCATCTTCAAAGATGCCCTGTCAAATAAATGACTTACTTTGTCTTCTTTCAACCATTTCTCCAGAAGCTGCTTGCGTCCTTGCTGGAGGACCGGCCGGCAGAGTTCCAGGGACTCGTATTTATTCAATTGCCCTTGGTCGAGCAAAATTCCAAAATATTGAAGCAGAGGGGACGTCTGCCCTGGTTGTGCTTGGACACTCTGGAACCGGCGGATGGTGTCTGGAGTGCGCAATATTCCCTTTTAAAAAAAAAAAGGTGGATAAAATACATCATCTACCCATTGCAAATCAGTCAAGATGGTGGTACCAACAAGTTCGTAAGTTATTAAAAGAAAAACTATTTGCAGAAACTTTAGATCACCGTTCCTCAAATTGGAGATTTGGACTTCAACTCCTGGAATTCCCCTTAGCATGCTGGCTAGTGAATTTTGCGAGCTGAAGTTCTTATGTCTTAATAACAATAGCACTTAGACTTATACACCACTTCATAGTGCACTGAGTGGTTTACAAAGTCAGCATATTGCCCCCAACCGGTCCTCATTTCACCGACCTTGGAAGGATGGAAGGCTGAATCAACCTCGAGCCGGTCAGGATCGAACTCCTGACAGTGAGCAGTCAGTCTGCAATACTGCATTCTAACCACTGCGCCGCGACGGCTGAAAAGTCCTCAGTCAAATTATTATCCAGCCTTGCACTGATGACCTAGAATATGCTACAGCTGGCTAGGGAGGCAGCAGGGAATGGTAAATGCCTCCTTGTCTAGTTTCAGAATGAACTTTTATTTATTTGACATGTTTGCCACCTTTTTTCTCAAGTCCTCCAGCCAGTGACTGGACAATACTTTGCAACACTGCATAAAGTGCATTAAAAAAGACCAATGGCAATTTTAATTGTGCATTCCACCCGGAGTTACCCTGAGCTATGATGGGCAGCCAATAAATGTTATAAATAAATTCCAAGCCACAAGCATAAGACTTAGTTGGGGCAATTGCAACCAATGGCAAGAAATCAGCTGGTCAGGTCACATATCCATTTTTGCAAGCGACAGCCTCATAACGAATGTCCATGGAGATTCTCAGTCATCCAGGTCAGGGGTCTCCAACCTTGGCGAGTTTAAGCCTGGAGGACTTCAACTCCCAGAATTCCCCAGCCAGCTTTGCTGGCTGGGGAATTCTGGGAGTTGAAGTCCACCAGGCTTAAAGTCGCCAAGGTTGGAGATCCCTGATCCAGGTCATGGTTATTGCAAAGGTGCTTTTTTCAAGAGGCGACTGGATTTTCTTGTTTTTTCTTTGAAGACGTTTCACTTTTCATCCAAGAAGCTTCTTCAGCTCTGACTGGATGATGGGGAATGGAAGGACTTATATTCCTTGTAGACAGCTGGTCATTTGAATTCATTTTGAGGGCCGTTGAGGCGGCTTGGAGGTTCATCTGTGTCCTGAGTAGGGGTGTGCTACCATTTGCACTACTCAGACGATCCTGAGGACACAGGTAAGCATCCAAGCGACCTCAACTACTCTCTAAAAGAATACAAATGACCAGCTGTCTACAAGGAATATAAATCCTTCCATTCCCCACCATCCAGTCTTGGATGAGAAGTGAAACGTCTTCAAAGAAAAACCAGAAAGTCCAGTTGCCTCTTGAAAAAAAAGCACCTTTGGGACAACCACGACCTGGAGGACTGAGAATCTCCATAGACTTTTGCTTAGCAATGGGAAGTTCTGGTCCCAACTGTGGCCATAATTTGAGGACTACTTGTATGCCAGTGCCAAAAAAAAGAAACTAAAAGAAACAGAACTGAGGATTCAAACCTGAGTAGATAAAACAGAAAAGACAAAGCATGGATCACTTGGATGTTTTTCCATACCTTCGGGGCGTTTGCTGCTACTTTGGCTGCTTCTGAGTAGCTCCCTTGGGCGAAAAGGGCATTGAATTTTCGGGCAAAGAGCTCTTCGGCCCCGGCGAGATTGTTACGGACGGCCATTCGCAGGGCCAGGTCGGGATTCTGCAGCACATTGGTGATGTACGGGATAATGTTCTCTTCCTCCACACACACTGAAAGCACCTTGAACGCAGGGAGAGGGATAGAATGCGGTTCATCATTAGGACCTCTTGCATTCTTGTTTTAATAATCCTTTTATTAAGTTTATCAGGATATAAAATACCAAAGAAAGTGAAAATAGTAGGGGAAATGGGGAAGGAGAAAGAACTGGAGGATAAATGGCTAAAAAGAAAAGGGAAAGATTGATTTTTGACTCTTTTTAGTGCCTCATAGTAACACTGTGGCCTCAACTTTTTACTTCTTACTCTCTGAGCTTGGTTGTTGTTTGTTTTTTTGCAAATTATCACTTAATAATCATCAATTAGCAATAGCACTTAGACTTATATACTGCTTCATAGTGCTTTACAGTCCCCTCTAAACAGCAAATAGCCCCCAACAATCTGGATCCTCATTTTACCGACCTCAGAAGGATAAAAAGCTGAGTCAAGCTTGAGCCCCATCAGGATCGAACTCCTGGCAGTGGGCAGAGTCAGCCTGCAATGCTGCATTCTAACCACTGTGCCACCACAGCTCATGCTAAAAATGTACTGGCCATGTTTATAACAACAAACCTATCTAATCTGCACTCCTGATGTTGAGTTTCGCTGATTAGTATTGCTTACAGTTATAGAAATGGCCAGTATTTGGTAAGTAGGTAAAATACAAAGTTACGCCTGTTATTTTATTTGGTACTTTACTGTGCTAAAAAAAAGTTGAAAGTTGATACTTTTTCTTTTCCCCTACACCTCTCTTATTTTCCTATCATCTTTATTTTCATTTATATTTTATACTATGATAATTTTAATAATTTTTTTTTTAAAAAAACATTTCAATAGAAATGTTTTTGGGATTCTATGAGTGCCCCTTCCAGGCTGGTAACCAGATGCCAGATGGATCCTTTTTTTCCCCTTTTGAAGGAGCTACAGCAGCTTACTAACAGATTAACATGATCAGGGGAGTGACGATAGCTCTTGTTAAAGTGTTGTTTCATCTTAATGGAATTCCAGCGCTAACAGCATTAATCTTGCTCCCTCCTCTTCTCCTACCAAGAAATGGGCCCAAAATAATATCATATTCAAGTGACTTATTTAATTTTATCCCTCCTTTGTTATGTATGGGCGCGACGGCTCAGTTGTTAAAGATGCTGAGCTTGGCAGTTGGAAGGCTGACAACAGGGATGAGCTCTCGTTCCTTGCCTCAGCTCCTGCCCACCTAGCAGTTCGAAGGCAGGCAAATGCAAGCAGATAAATACTGTGTTTCCCTGAAAATACAACCTACCCCCAAAAGTATGTCCTAGCTTGATTTTTATATGTTCGCCCAATATAAGCCCCAAAATAAACCCTAATTAAGATCTCACCCACTCCAGGGTGCACGGGTAAAAATTAAGCTAGAGTGGGGATGGGGGGTGGGGTGGAGCTGCCCTACTACTTACCTTTGGACAGTGGCAGCCAGGCCTCGCACACCCCAACACCTGCCTTGCCAGCCCATTTCTTCTGCAGCCGGCCAGGCTTTCCTGAAGCCTATAACAAAGCTCAGGATCGATCCGGAGCTCTGTTATCAACTGCAGAGGCCTTCAGGAAAGTCTTGCCGGACGCAGAAGTTCCTGAAGACCTCCGACAGCAAAAAAGAGGCCAGGGACAACGTGTGCAAGTGAGGCGAGTCAGTGAACGACCCCCCCCCCCCCGAAAATAAGACCTGGTGCCTTTTTTGGTGGCAAATATATATATAAGACAGGGTCTTATTTTGGGGAAAATATGGGTAGGTACCACTTTGGGGGGAAGGTGACAGCATTTTGTGCATCTTTGGCATATAGCCATGCTGGCCATATGACCACAGAAATGTCTTCTACAGAGGACTACGCTGGCTCTTTCAATTAAGAAAGAGAGATGAGCACCAAGGAGGTTCACCCAGAGTGCTCACAGGCTCTGCAAATTTCTATGGCATCTTAAGAATGTGTACTTTCTCCCTTATCACGTGGTTGGTTACCAAAGAGCATATTGCCTTGAAATGCAGTTGAGGATTACCAAGAGGCCTGGCTCTGGCATCAGAGGGTAAGTGAGACTATAAAGAAGTAACAGATTAACAAGAGAAAACTGCACACAGGATTGTCTTGTGTGTTTTTCAGGAAAAACAGGTTAAGAGGCAGCTTCTGGATCAAAAGGCTATGAAACTTCAGGATATGCCTTCCTAAACCTAGGCTCTTTCTTTCTTTCTTTCTTTCTTTCTTTCTTTCTCCTTCCTTCCTTTCATTCATTTCTTTCTCTCTCTCTCTCCCTTCTTTCTTTTCTCTCTCCTCCCTTTCTTTCATTCTTTGATTCATTCATTCTTTCTTTTTCTTTTTCCCTTTCTTTTTCCCTTTCTTTTTTTCTTTCTTTCTTTCTTTCTTTCTTTCTTTCTTTCTTTCTTTCTTTCTTTCTTTCTTTCTTCTTTCTTCCTTTCTTTCTTTCTTTCTTTCTTTCTTTCTTTCTTCTTTCTTTCTTTTCTCTCTCTCCTCCCTCCCTCCCCCCCTCTCTCTCCTTCCTTCCTTTGCAGGAGAAGAAAATCTCAGAACCGGCAACAAACCAATTTGGCAGCTCCAATTCCTGGCAGGAAAGTGTCCCTCAACAGCAGGACAGAACTGAAAGCAGGTATCATCTGATCAAGAAAGATCTTTCAAGGTTGATGCTGTTAAATATTGCCAAGAGAGGTTGAGCAGCTTTTCCATAGGCTGTGAACTTCGACCGACTACTACTATACAAATACAAACCTTCTGACTTGTTTTGTGGAACGGGCAGCACTCCAAGGTTTGACGGCGGACTTATTTAGTTCAAACTACTACATGAAATTTTAGTAATCAGTTAAATGTCCAAGGAAAATAGCAACATTTTAAAAATCCATATACAGATAGTCCTTGACTAGCAACCATTCATTTAGTGGCCGTTCGAAGTTACAAAGCAGTGGTGACATTCTAGCGGTTCGGCCTGGTTCTGCCGAGCCGGTAGCGGTGATGAGCTGCGGTCTTCGGCGCTCTGTGTTGGACCCGCCCACTCTCCCGGGCTCCCATACTGCTTTTTAAGTGCAGCTGCTTTACCCGGCACAGCAATTGCTGCGTGGCAGCTGCTGAAGCATCAGGGAGAGTGCAGGATTGCCTCTGTGCCTGCGCAGTGTGCGTTTGGCATATGCATGCATGCAAAATGTGTGCGCGTGTGCAAAGCACGCCCGCCAAGCCACGCCCACCGAACTGGTGGTAAAAAATATTTGAAACACACCACTGTTACAAAGGTACTGAAAAAAGTGGCTTATAAGCGTTTTATGACACTTGGCAATTGGCTCGTATTTATGATGGTTGGCATTCCGGGGTCACGTGATCCCCATTTGCCATCTTCTGACAAGCAAAGTCAATGGGGAAGCTGAATTCACGTTACTAACTTAACATAGTTAGTTAACACGGCGATTCATTTAAAAAGGTCGCAAAACGGGGCAAAATGGCAAAAAAAAGGTCACAAAACGGGACAAAGTGTCTCTCTTAGGAATGGAAATTTGGGGCTCAACTGTGGTTTTAAGTCGGGGATTACCTGTACAGGTGGAGCCTTGCACCTACCTGGCCTCAATACATTCACATGCACCTCCTCCTAAGCCCCACCGCCACCACCACCGAAACATTGAAGCCTCTCGTTACCTGTCCTTTCCTATTGACGCCAATGATTCCAGCCGTGGCTTCGTGTGGCGCAGTCACAAAGATAGTTTCCCCACTGATTCTGTTCATGTAGATGCAGGTGCCCGTTTCAAGGTCGTACAGATGGATGTAGCCGTATTTGGTGATCAGAAAAACAACATCGTGCTTTTCACTAATCTGCAAATAGGAAAAAGCGGGGGGGGGAATGGTAGCCATCTCAGGGCAACGTACTGTAGTTGAAAACCCACCAAAGATATAAGCCAAACAAGTTAGCATATGGTCTTCTGTATCAAACTTCAATCCTAGTCGTGGCGACAGCTAACCTGCATTAAACGTATCTTATTCGCCCATCCCCAGGTTTCAAAAATGTTAGTAGACTTCATCTCAGTCCTATTAAGTTAAAAGGCTTACAGCAGCCTGTATGATGTAATGCTTAAGGCATCAGCCTAGAATCTGGGAGACTGTGAGTTCTAGTCCTGCCTTAAATGTAAAAGTCGGCTGGTGACTTTGAGCCAATCACCAGGAGACTCTTAAGTTCTAGTCAGAACTATCTTACATAGTTCGAACTATCTTGAGCCTGGTGGTGCAGTGGTTAAAGTGGAGTATACTGCAGGCTACTTCTGCTGACTGCCAGCTACCTGCAATTTGGCAGTTTGTATCTCACCAGGCTCAAGGTTGACTGGGCCTTCCGAAGTGGGTAAAATGAAGACCCAGATTGTTGGGGGCAAGAGGCTGACCCTGTAAACCGCTTAAAGAGGGCTGTAAAGCACTGGGAAGCGGTACAGTGGAGCCTCGGGTCGCAACTGTAATCCGTTCCAGGATTGCGGTCGCAACCTGATTTGGTCGTGACCGGGAGCACGACCATCTGTGCATGCACGGACCAAACCCCTCCCCCCCCCAATGGTGCCAAAGGGAAAATTGCCGCACTGATTTTCGGGTTTGCTTGGTCACCACCTGAAGATCTGTCCGCGACCAGAAGCAACACAGAAGCAAAGATTGATTGTCACCCGATTCGGTCGCGAAGAAAAGCGTCCGCGACCCAAGGTTTCCCTGTATGTAAGTCTAAGTGCTATTGCTATCTTACATGAAAGCCAGCTGGATGACTTTGAGCCAATCACCAGGAGACTCTGGGTTCTTGTCCCCCCCCCCCTTAAGCAATGAAGCCAGCTAGGTGACCTCGGGCTAACCCTTTCTCTCAGGACCAGGAAGGTGGCAATGTCAAACCACTTCTGGGGGGGAAAAAACCTTGCCAAGAAAACTGCAGGGGACGTGCCAAGCAGTCTCCAAGTATCAGACACAACCAAACGGAAGGGGGGGGGGGGAATAAGGTAGACCAGACTCTGTGCAGACTGAAAGCTACTTTTATTAGAACAGCTATTGCAAAAAGAATCATGCAAGTCCCCGCTCCCTTTTATCTTCAGGTGAATTTGAGAGGGCTCTCTCAGATGCTTTCATAAACCACTTCCTTGGCCCGGGTTCAAGCTTCATTTATCTCCTCCCTGCCTGGTAACAGGTCTTCCCTGGGTCCTTCAAGGCCCTCCACTAGTCTCACGACACTCTCCTCCCACAGCGTTAATGCTTTTCTGCAGATAATCTTAAAAGAACACCAACAGATTTTTTGGATAATGAACTCTGCTCTTCTAAAACCTGCCAAGGCGTGCAGAGTCCCGGTTCATCAAAAACACAGTGTGTTCATATAGATTGTTTGAACTGTCCAACTGCCAAGTTGAAAAGCTACCCAGACTAAGGATCAAGAGGCCCTTTGGTACTTCTACAGAATCCCCCAAACACCTGAACTTTGCTCTATAAAAAGCAGCTGCCACATTAAAGGCAAGGCTGGAAGCTGGGCAGCCTTGAGCTCTGCAGATTCTTTTAGGGTCTTGACATGATTCCTTTAAGCCCTTCTGGTTTTATCCAGTTAGTCATTTGTATCCTTTGTTAATTTTTACAACTCACTCCAAGCAGGGAAGACATCTTCCTCGTTTTCTCCACAACGACCCTATGACGTGGGTGGAGCTGAGAGTGAGGGACTGGCCCAAAGTCACCCAGCTGGCTTACGTGGCGAAGGCAGGACTTGAACTCAAGAGTTTCCTGCTTTCTAGCTTGGTGACATAATAACCATTAGACTAGGGATGTCCAGCCTTGACAACCTTAAGACTTGTGGTCTTCAACTTCCAGAATTCCTTAGCCAGCCATGCTGGCTGGGGAATTCTGGGAATTGAAGTCCACTAGTCTTAAAGTTGCCAAAAGCTAGACACTCTTGCATTAAACCAAATTGGATTGCACGGCCAGCCGGCCAGCCACTTCCAAAGCCTTCAGGAGGTGCAGGTAAAGGCCCGTTCCTTGATAACATAACATACCTGCATTGCTACGGGGAAGTCGTTCTGGGCTTCTGGTGGGAAGAAGACATCCACAGCTTTCTTAGGGAAGGGCTGGTTTCCGGTGGGAGGTGCCCCAACCTCAATAATATGCAACTGTACAGGAAGAAATCAGGTTGGAGACCATCTTTAGAAAGGATCCATCGATTGCCAACTCTTGGCTTTATCAAACAAGAAGGGAAGGAGGTCCCATGGCAGAAAACAGAGCATGGGTAGTCCTCGATGTACGACCACAATGGAGTCCGGAATTTACGTTGCTAAGTGAGAAATTTTGGGAAGTGAGTTTTGCCCCATTCGACAACGCTTCTTGCCACAGGGGTTAAGCGAATCACCCCCGTTGCTAAATTAGTAAAGGTGTTGTTAAATGGATCTCACTTCCCTCTTGATTTTGCTTGTCAGAAAGAGGGCAAAAGGGGATCATGTGACACACACCCCCCCCCCCCCAGGATACTGCAACCGTCATAAATAGGAGTCGGTTGCCAAGCATCCGAATTTTGATTATGTGACTGTGGGGGTGCTGCAATGGTCACAAGTATGAAAAAAAAGCCGCAAGATCACTTTTTCAGGCACCATTGTAAAGATCACTTTACAATGTTAAGATCACTTTTCCAGCACCATTCGGTCACTAAATGAACTGTTGTAAGTCGAGGAGGACCTGCATGTGTCACTCTAATCATCAAGTCTCTCTGGACAGCATACAATAAGCAAATCATGTCCTGCATTCAGATTGTTAATAGAGTGGTGTGATGGTCTAGAGGTGCAGTTCTCGCCTCACAATCAGGAGGCTGTGAGTTCGATCCTAGGTAGAGGCAGATATTTCTCTCTCTGGGCACAATGAGAATGTATCTGCTGGAAAAAAAAAACCTCCGCATTGGTGACAGGAAGGGCATCCGGCCAGTAAACACTCGGCTCCATTCAGTTGCCCAGATTCCACCCCGCAAGGGATTATGGGAGTCACTGAATGGAGATGATGATGATGATGTTAAGACCTATATGTCTTAACATCCGGCCCCTGAGGCAAGCTGCCACGGTTTATGCTGCCTGCTGAAACGGAGAGGGGGATTCTTTCTGTTCAAAACTATGTGCCTCAAAGGCGAGATCTGACCGGTAAGTCTTCAACTTACCACCATTCATTTAGTGAACTACATTTAGTGTAGTCTGAAATTGCAACAGCACTGGGAAAAAGTGACCTACAGCTGTCACAGCATCCCTACGGTCACTTGGTCAAATTTCAGGGGCTTGGCAACCAGCATCTATTTACAATGACCGTAGCATCCTGCTGTCAGTAACGGCTATTTGTGACTTTCCCAACGGGCTGAACACAAGCAAAATCAATGGGGGATGCCAAGTTTGCTTAAAACTGAAAGTGAAAAACTGAAGTGACTCGCTTAACAATCATGGCCAAAAAATAAAAATAAAATTCAGGTGCAACTCACTTAACAACCACCTTGCTTAGAAACCAGTGTTCTGGTCCCAGCTGTGGTCATAAGTAGAGGACTTCCTCTCTCTCTCTCTCTCTCTCTCTCTCTCTCTCTGTGTGTGTGTGTGTAAATAAAAACCCCACGGAAGGCCAAAGTCTCCTCTCCAGCGATGGATGAATGGAGATCGGACCCACAGGAGACTCACCTTGCCTCCAGCTTGCCCTCGCACCGCGAAGCAGAACAGGGTGGATTCTTCTGTGTTGCCTTCCATCTTGAATTGGGCAAAACTGGCAGCGTGGCCTTCGATCGGCTGTGACACTTTCCTATCCACGGAATAAAGTTGCATGGCTCCAACGACACGGTTTTGCTTTAAGAAGGGAAGGAAAGGGGTCGTGAGAACATTGAACCTACCGCATTAAGCTAGGAGTACACTTTAAACCAGGGGTCTCCCAATCTGGCTGCTTTAAGACTTGTGGACTTCAACTCCCAGAACTCCTCAACCAGCATAGCTGAAGAATTCTGGGAGTTGGTCCACAAGTCTTAAAGGGGCCAGGTTTCATGCTGGCAGAAGAATTCTGGGAGTTGAAGTCCACAAGTCTTTAAAGCGGCCAGGTTGGGGAACCTCTGCTTTTAGACATTTGGCATTCAGACTGTACATCCGAAGAGGGTTCAAATCTTCTTCAAATGGCCAGGAACAGCACTTTCCCCCTCATATATCCCTTTTTTAATTTGGAGCTGCTTTCCCTTTCTTAACAGAAGCTCACTCTGGGGGGTTGCTGAAAAGCGACCAGAAACTTCCGAACTGAAGAGAGTCTAATTTGACTCAGATTCACCTAGATTAGTTTCCTGTGGTGATCCATCTGGCCGCTACTTGATTTCTTGATCTCTTTGGCCGTGTTCTCATCATACACTAAATAAATAGTTACGACCAGTGAGAGCCAAATACATTTTCAGTTGGTGGTGGTGGTGGCAGGGAACAATGCTTTAGAAGGCCTATGTTCAATGTGGCAATGAAACAAACACAGTTGTGTCACATACATCATTATTTCTACATCTGATTTACTACGTAACCAAACTTCTCTGAGAAAACTACAAATTTATTTTAAAAAATTTAAAGGCTAGGCTGCTTCTCATTTCTCTGACATTGGGAGAAGGGTTTTCTATTTTCTGTTTATTTCTTTAATCAAATTTAGATATTCTCTATCTTGCTCCCAGAGTGACTCTGAGTAGTGCACAACTAAAAGCATTTTTAAAAAAAGTTAAAAATTCAATATATCAATAAAAAGGAGCCAGATAAACGGCACGGGGAGAAGCTTCAAGGCATGCTCAGTGGTGGCATAACTAAGCATTGAGAGTTTTAAAAACTGTCTTAATCTAATTTTAGGGTTTATGCAATGATTTTGATGTGCTTACCATTATAGAACTTGTGACAGGTGCAAAAGATCAGGTCCACGGGTGAAGGGCTAATAATTAAAATGATTTATTGCTAAACAGCCCTAAGCACAGGAATCTTTTCAACTAAGGGTTAGCAACCTGCTTGGAATTAGATAAGGGTCCACAACATTCAAGGGAGGTTGGATTTACTCTGCTTGTGGCTACCTAGGGATTCTAGGCTGGTGCCTCTTTTAACTCCGCCCCCAGATTCCGCCATTCCTTCCACCACATAGTAGTGGAAGAAGTGAGAATTTCTTTATTTGTAAGTCACAAGACATCAGTTGCACTTAGATAACAAATTGCCTAATTTCATTTAATTACATTACTGTAATTACACAAAGAAAATGTCAGCAGTGCAGCCACCAAAGCAACAGGGTGGCTATCCCTCCCCTGATAATTGTGGCCCCGCATTATTAAAATAAAAACCTATTTTCAATCCATTTAAAACAACCCAAATCTCATTACATTACCAGATGTCTCAGGGATGCCGAAACCTTAAAAGCGTTGAGATTTGAGTTCATAAAGAAAATAATTTTGTTCCCTGGAGGGGGTCTTCAAAAACGGAGGTGGAAACCTGAGTTTTAAGACTGGGGGTTACATGGAGGAACTTTTTAAACTAGGAATCACCACATACAATGAAAATCAGAAATGTTTCTCTTTTCATTTGCCCCAAGCAAATTCTGCTTGCAGGATGTGTGTCTCTTTGTGTAACTAACAAAATTTCAGTGTGAAGTTTATAGCAGGGGTCCTTCCTTTACGAGAGGTTAGCTGCTGAGGCTTTGCCAACGCTCTGTCGAGAGATCAAGGTTGCACAGGAAGCAGAACTAAAGTGGGTCACGGACTGGCCTCGGATACAAGGATTTCAATTTTGCTAAGACAAACAGCTCTAGAGGGGAATTTTGGGTGTTTTCTCACAGAATGTACGTGAGAAAGTAACCACCTTCTCCCCCACAATTTATAGCAGAGATCCCAGCTTTTATTAAGGCAATGCTCATTCCCAGTAGGCTACAAAAAAGGTTAAAGGAGTCCCTGCGGGTTTTACTCCGCTAGTTGTTGCTGACTGTACAGGGCGTTGCTCATCTCCATTTCAAGGCCATTGAGCCAGCGCTGTCTGAAGACATTTCCTCAGCCATGTGGCCAGCATGATGTCACGGAGCACTGTTACCTTCCCACTATAGTGGTACCTATTTATCCCCTTGCATTTGCATGCTTTGGAACTATACAATTTGTCTGAAATGGTATAGGATTTCCTGCTTAAGCAGGAAGTTGGGACTATAAAACCTCCAGGGTCCCTTCCAACTATGT